GGCCTCTGATTTCAAGTCACAAATCAGTCGGTGAGCAGGCATTCTGTGCATGCGCCTGGGAGTCAAGGCCGTCTCGTCTCCTCAGGGCACATCTACCACTGCGTGCACCGTCCCTCATAACGGCAAGGAAGGCGCCATCACCGTGCCAGATCTCGGACGAGGTCTGTTGTCTGCTGTCAGACTCGGAACCTAGCGACAATCCGGGTCACCGCGTGACTGTGCGCATCGAAGGAAAGCAGAGAAGGGGGGAGGTAAGTTGCAGGGCGCAGGCATGCCATGCCCAGTACATCCCTGGCCATCATCACCAAGTCTCCTCACTGGTAGATACCTAGGTCCAGGAGTCGCGATTTGCATTGACCCCACGTCAGAACGCCCTCCCCGCGAGGCACCTTCGTCGGTCTACACGCTGCCATCCACTCTCAACCCCTGCGCCGCACACGCCCTGCCCAGAATCGCCAGCAGCACCCCCGCCTTGCGCGTGTTGTACTCCCGCGCCGTGCCCCCAACCCGCCGCACGTCCTCCGCCGCCGCCCTCTTCGCCCGCACGTACCTCGCGCGGTCCTCCGCCCCAGCCGGCATCGCGAGCCAGTCCCGCAGCGCCTTGTGCCGCGCCACCTCCTCGCACCCGGCCGGGAACACGTGCAGGTTGACGCCCGCCGCCCACGGCAGCTCGCCGACGAGCATGCGCGCCCCGTGCCACGACGGCTGCCGCATCACGAGCGTGAACCCCACCGCCTCGAGACGGGGCACGTACGCCTGCTCGTCGGCCGGGTCGCTAACCGTCATGTCAATGTCGATGATGGGCTTGGCGTCGAGGCCGGGGACCGACGTCGACCCGACGTGGTCGATGGTCGTGACCTGCAGGTGTATGGCGTCGAGGACGAGGAGGGCGACGACGACGTACATGGCGGGCCAGGCGGCGTTGTAGGGGCACGACGATGAGGGGGCGCGCCGGCATGGGGGTTGACGAGCTCCATGGGTGGCAGGTGTGAAGCCTTGCGGTGCGGTCTGTGCTGGTCCAGCTGATTCCTGCGGCATGGCTGTGATGCGGAGCAAATCTCCCACGCTGTGCTGTGCTGTGTCGTTGCTGTGCTTGGCTGTTGCTGTTGCGTTGCCGGAACTGGCTGTGCTGTTTTATTGG